AATTTAAAATGTTTTTTGCCTTAACTTTACAAACACAGCCCAAATGTTGGAGAAAATAGCTAGAATTAGTATAAGGAACATTATAAATACTTACATCTCCCGTGGTCAGCCTAAAGTTGAGAAGTCTACTGTGGACTGAATTACTACGTGACATGCCTTTTCTAAGTAAGCACTGGCACAACAGATTTTCATGACTCCCCGTCTTCCTGTGTGTTTAGTCCACAGAGGATGTGATAAGTGTCATTGATCAAGCACAGGTAAAATAAATAGGGGTGTTCTTGTTCATTTTGCTTCAACAAATTGAGATGTGAGGAGGAATAAAAAGGCTTCATGAGACCCTATGGTGACTTTAATTGAGAGTCACTGGCTGACCCAAAGCAAAAGCTTAGTGTAAGCAGTTGAACACAATCTGAAAGCAAGCTGGAAACAATCCCCAGGCAGCTAACTCTGAAATTTGGAAGTCAAGTTCACTGAAACCATAGGATCTTTGTTTACAACAAGGAGCCATTTTGCCCCCTAGGTACTTTTGGATGTCACAACTCACAGGGCCAGGAGAGATGGGCTGCTTCTGTATCTAGAGGACAGAGACTAGAGATGCTATTTAATAGCTTAAAATACACAGGCAAGTCCCCATATTAAATTATCATTCAGCTCCAAAAGTAAATAAACCCTGTGAGCACAAGTTGTCCAGTTATGGTGGTGTATGAAAGAAGAAACTATATTTGCCACTTTATGGGCTTTAAGCAATACAATAATCTACTGACGATACAATGTAACTTTCCTTGGATTTTTGATAGAATAAATTAAAAAATATGAGAAAGGACACTCAGAAAACAACTAACTAGTAAACAGTTACCAAGAAAGCTATTACTGAAACAGAAGAATCAATGACTTGAATTATAGTTGGTAAATATTTCTATGGGAGTTATTTCTGAGTTACCTCTGTGTGCCACCTTACTGCAAACACACGCTCACCGATGCTCCAGCAAAGGTATTTGGTTTAGAAATTTTCTTCCTTAAACGTCTCTTTGGTGTCCCCCCGACGAACCTTTGTAAATCATGTGATCTGCTTTATTTTTTTAATTGACATAAGAGAAATGCTTATTTTCATGTTTATGTTACTCATAATTCAGTACAGTATTTTTTCCTTTTTTCTCCCCCTAACATATATCTTTTAATTTCTAATACTAGTGAAACTAGCTAAAAGTCTTTATGGGTATTTCATTCCTAATAAAGTAAAAAAAAAAAAAAATCTATGAGGTATATTGTGTGAAAAAGAATTTACTTTGATGGTTATCAAGAAGAGTGGATAGGCTCCGCGCCTGTGGCTCAAGCAACTAAGGCGCCAGCCACATACACCCAAGGTGGAAGGTTGGAATCCCCAGCCCGGGCCCGCCAAACAACAATGATGGCTGCAACCAAAAAATGGCCGGGCGCTGTGGCAGGCACCTGTAGTCCCAGCTACTTGGGAGGCTGAGGCAGGAGACTCGCTTGAGCCCAGGAGTTGGAGGTTGCTGTGAGCGTGATGCCATGGCACTCTACCCAGGGGGACAGCTTGAGGCTCCGTCTCAAAAAAAAAAAAAAGAAGAGTGGATAGAGAATCCATAATAAATGAATGCAGGAAGACCTGGGTTTATTCTTTCAAAATAAACATAGAAGGTAAAGTAGAATGGCAACGTGTTCTAGAGGAAGGATTTTAGACCCAAGATAGGTTAATACTTCTAAACAGTAGAGATGTTTAAAGGTGGCTAGAAGCTGTGCAGAGTAGATAAACATGGACTATCTCCATCTTTGTTTTTTACTTCCTCACACCAAGAGAAAATGAAAGGAATGGAGGAATAAATAACTGAGGCTGAGAAATTGGAAGCTGACCCACAACAGTAGCAGAAAGAATCCATGTGGTACCCACCTCCGCCTGGGACTCACAGAACTCTTTGAAATTTTTGAAGCAAAGTTAATACTAAACATAAATTACAAAGAATTCCAGTTGAGTTTCTGTTTAATTATGTAATTGTTTAAATAATAAAGGATTAGTTATAAAAATGTAATAAAGTTTCTTTTCAAGCCATTTAGGTTAATTTAAAATGGGATGCTTTCTTCTAAACCTTTTTCTTTTTTTTGTCCTAGTAAAGCTTACAGGAAAAAAAAAAAAAAGAAAACAGAAAAAAGGAGCCTAAAAAGCTAAAAAACAAACAAACACAAAAACAACTACAAAATAAGAGGGGGTCATGGACTTCTTGGCGTGGTCTCCTATGCTCCCAGCATTGTGCTGATGCGTTTTCCAGTTATGTAACTGGGGTCCCGCAGTTTGAGAGCCCCCTCTTTTTCTCTGCTCAGTGATGTGGTGCACAGGAAGCATATGAGGAAGGGTTCCAAAATGGGAAGGAAGGAAATACTTGTTTCTTCTGGTTTTCTTGCTGTGCCTGGCAGTAGGGTGTCAGCAATAGACAATTTGTTCTGGTTTCCATTCTTCTTCCCTGTGCTTCCAGAATCAGCTACACTGTGAGCTCTCAGTAGCACCAGTAACACCTGGCCAGTGTCTCCCGTCACAGACCTCAGTCCCACGTGACAGGGGCGTCCTCTGCATCCTGCATCTCGTAATCCCACCCTCTTTTCTGACTCAGAGCCTCTGAGGGGAGCCGCCGTTTCCTGGATTGCTGTTTCTGTGTTATTCCTGTGTTCCCTTTCCATTTGCTGAGTTCTCTGAGTTCTCATTCACGCCTTTGAAGACAATTCCTCACATGACATTTTCTTTGTTGTAATGACTGACAGGAATTTTTTCCTAATTATCTTCTTACCACTACCACTCTTTATGAGCTGTGCCCATTATGTAAATGAGCAAACCCACCTGGGTTCAGGAACTTGCTGTTTCATAGCTGCTGGGAGGCAAAATGAGAGTAAGATCCTGGATTTATAAGCCACAATTTTTGCTAAAACTTCAGGACAGTCAGAGACATAGGAGGAAAACCATGAGAGAAGAGTTGCCAAATTTAAAAAAAGTTTAAAGGATAATTTAAGAATACAACTATAGGTAATTTAACTCTCTCTCTCCCCCTTCTCTTTCTCCATTTAGTATATCTATATACAGATTCTTTCTTTCCTTTCCTTCCAAATCATCATTAATATGACAGCAAAAAGTTTTGTTTTTTTTTAAGGCATGAGTCCATAAGATTCTTCATTCAAGAAAATGGTAAATATTAAGAAATATTTAGAAAAGTGTGTAAGTTATGTAATAGAGGGTGAAAAAGCTATGTGAACATAACAAATAAAATAAGATGAAGTCTGCAGTAGGGCAGCCTTCAGGCAGAAGAGACCAGGCCTCGGAATGCAGGAAGTTTCAGAAATCGGAGGCACCAGGCTTCTTTCTCCAGGGTGTCCTAAAAGTTTCCCATGAAGCCACCACACACTGGAAAAATAGGGAATCGTAGCTAATTGTACTTTTATTTACAAAATATTCATTACATTTTACAGAGGTGGGCAACGCATAAAGAATATTTTAGAGATATTTTGTAAAACTTTGTGATGACCATTTTGTACATCATTTTGGAGCCTTCACCCACTTGAGTGCCCGCGAATCTGAAACGGCAGGATTTGTTGAAATTCTAAGAAGTAGAATCCCTTCCCTATACCTTAAAACCCAGTGGTCACATCTCCCTAGGAAGCAATAGAAAGATTATGATTTACAAGGATAGGCAGGGTTTGGTAAGACTCAGGTCGCGGGTGGCCATAACGAGAGAACAGTTTGGTGAGTAATGGGGAGAGATGTGGAAGGAGGCAGTGAACAGGGGAGGGGACAAGATTTGGAAGGGATGGGATTCAGAGGAAAGAGACTGGTTTGTCTTCTGAAAGATAATTTTCTTTTCTACATATGAAAAAAGATGGATAAAGGAATTTGGAAAGATGAACTGGGAAATATTATTTCCCAGAACTTGCATACTCTCTGTGTGAGAACATAAGGATGAGACAAAAGGTTTGGTAAGAGAAATATGAGTTTTGATTAGTTACCTAGGGAAACAAAACAAGCACCCTACTCCAATGTTTTCCTAATGTATATTATTATCTTAAACAAATAATGATGCCTTAAATTCACATAATGCAGGTCCCCAACTTGTGGCCCATGTGTCACATTTAACCTGGAATTTTAAAAAAATAATTGCCGACATTTTGAAAGTTTGAGATTTTTAGTTTTTAAAGTAATCCCTTTTGAAGGTTTCTTGTTGAAAGATTGACTTATCTTAAGTAATGCCGGGCTTACATTTCAGAATGTGGTGAGTGGTGGGTGCATTCTGTAGATGGGCCCGTTCGCTGACTTACATTACCTTCCTGACCTGTGCAGTCACTTGAGAACCACCAGGCCACATGCATGAAAGTCGATATAGTTTATATTTTTCAGAAAGGAAATATCACACCATTACTCTCACCCACAGAAGGAGAGCTTCAGATAAAGTGAAGTGCCACTTATCAAGCGACTCTGTGAACCCTTTCAATAGTTGCTACTGGATCCTTTAGGATCATCCAAATCCGTTCTCATAAACTCATAGGGAGAAATAAAACTGCTGTCACTCAGGACTCTCCGCTGGCATCTGTTAAAGATCACGCCAGTCGCCAATCTAAGGTAACTGGCTTCTCTAGATTTGCTTATACACCATAATTTATCAAATTCAACTCTCTGGCACAGGGTTTAAACCAAATTTTCTCTAACATGCAAACCAAGAGATGTCTCGTAACTTTTTAATTTGAATAATCGTGATTATAAGAGCATCAGCCTTTGTTCATTCTGTTTTCCAGAAATAATTCTTACACAGTACTCGTTAATTAAGTTGCTATTCATTTATTTCCTTTGAACCATCCAATAAACACCAATACTGTGAGAATCCATTAACCAAGCGTCCTGTGCAATAATGAGATAAGCAAGGGAGAAAAGCTGTCGCTGTTGCCATGGGAACTTCTAACTGGTGAAAACTCTTCACTTGAGTGTGATCAAGAGTTGACCCTGCATTTAGGACATGGCCAGCAAACAGCTGACACCAGAATAACAACTCTTTTCTAAACAAACAAAAAAAAAGCCACAAGTTAATTATAAATAAGTTTTTCCTACCACGTAGCTGTCTTAGTGTCTTTTGTGCTATAAATTTCTGCACGAAGATCTCAATTTGGGGCTGTCGTTTTCCCTTTCTACCACGGTGACTTCGGTCGTGGTGGGAAGCTCGTAGGGCTTGGTCTGCTTATGGAGCAGCTCTTGTCTTTTCCTCATAATTTCTCGGAAGTGCATTTTCTCCTCTAACTCTTTATCTTTCCGTTCCTGGGCCTCACATATCGCGTCTTGTCTCTGTCGGTTCTTTAGTTCTTCTTCCCACTGTTAGGGAAATAAAACGTCATTTAATTTGAATTTCCATGCATGGAATATTTACATACATATACACATATATCAATGTAACTTCTCAGATGCAGAGTCTTATATTTAATTATCCTCTTAGGTTTTTTTTCACAGACATTCCTCAGGAATTTTATGCTCTATTACACTGGAAAAAATATACGTGACCCCTATTAGAATGTGTCTAGGTCCCACAAAACAGAATTGCCTTTTAATAGCTTTTAAAGATAACGAATCCTTGAAGAGATAATAGACTTTGTATCTCTCTATCCTAAAGGACTTGACTCTCTTCACCATTATTGGTATTTATACGACAGCACGAGTCATAAAAAGAAAAACAAAGCTACAGCAAAAGAAAAAGGCAAACGATACAAATTAAAGGGAAAGATGAAAACAGATGAAAACTGGGATACTATTCCATGTGAAGTTGAAAATGAAATTATCGGTCAGACAAATTTACTAGGCAGCAGACCAGCACGAAGGCTTCACAGAGGTCCGTGTGAATGGCCATGTCAGCTCACCATGGGGCCGAACGTGTGACGGGAAGAGTCTGAGGAGTGCGCAGTAGTGCTGGAAGTCATGACAGTAAATCAAGCCAGCGCCCCGAAGGACTTTTTTCTCCTCCTAACCCAGCTGATGAGAGACACGGCAAACACGTCCCGGCCGGGTGAGGCTCGGAAGGAATGACTCCCAGCGTGAACTGTTACAAACTTCTGAGGACGCTGCGACTGCTGCTTTTTTGGGTCACCTTCAGCTCATGCTTTTCACAAATACTCAGACCAAGACGCGCATCTATCAGTTTATGGATTACTCTAGATCCTGGTGCTACCAATCTGAATAGTGTTCGTTATTTGGGCTCTGTGAATAATGAGCAGAGGTAAACCTCAGGGTCCACACTGTGTCATGCAGCTTTGCTGAACACAATAACATTTGTGAAATATTAACATATTCCTATTAGAGTAAATACTAAAAACTAAAGTATGATAAGTCATATCTACTTATCTTATCCACAGTTAAGTTTTTATGACATAAGAAATACAAAAGTTAACTGCACTCATCATGAAACTGTAGCTACACATCATTATTACCCATCTATTTAGTTTCTCAAAAACCATTTTTGTGGGATATATATAGAAAATATCCAGAACCCCCAGACACAGGCTGAAATTCATGCATTAGTTTAGTCTGCAAGTTCTATGACACTCAGCTGTGATGCATTTGTCTGGTACAATAACCTAAGTAATCTAATTCTTTAACAAAACGACTAATTTTGTGTTATAGGATAGAAATAGCTGTTGGTATGATTATGACGCTATCTGTAAAGAACGTGCTCTAATCTGCTTAATATGAGAAATTTCAATATGTCTAATGACTTTGTTCTTTACATTGTGAAAGAGCAACAGAGGATTAATTCTTAAGAACCGTTGGTAAAAATGAATTCTGTGGTTTCCCAACAGTGTGTCTGAAAGCATCAATGCACTTGAAAGCAGCTGAGGAGGCATCATATAACTACTGTGCTGGGGCAGCTCTTCCCCTTTTTTCTCCCCTCAGAATTTGGTATGACGAGAATTCACTGTAATATCCAAGTTCTCCTCTTCATTAAGCCAGGAACACAGTAAACTTTTTCTTGACCATAACAAGTTCAATTTGGGGAAATTGTTATATTGTCTTGACTTTCACCTGATATTTCCACTGCCATGGTAGGTAGGTGGGACGTAGATGCTACAGACATTTGAAGTTGATGGGAAAGGGAAGCACCATTCACCCCTTTATTCAGTCCATTCACTCAGTGATGCAGTCGTCACACTGTGGAGATACCAGCAAGGTACAGGGCAACTTTGCATCAGCCAAGTAGTGAGGTGACTTCCCTACTTCTTGCATATTATAGCTGGTCAACAAAAGTCCTTTGAAAATTATACTTGCAGCCATGGGGATGTGTTTTTGTTTTTTGTCAATATTACAGATCCACCCTCCTACTCCCATGCTGGTTAGGGACTATAAACCAAGAATTTAAGCACGTATGAGAAGGTTAAAGGATAATGGATGTGGATTCCAAAGATGCGGCTTGGGGCATAGACAATCCATTTACTGACTTTGAAACGTTGAGTGAGTAACTATACTGTAAACAACTAATTGATTTCTCTTATGGGTAAATGTTTTACAGGGTAATTGTGAGAATTAAATTAATACAAGAGAATTTTGTAAAGTATGAAGAGTAAGTACAAAGCCATATAGCTATACCTCTCTGAAAGGAAATGATATGTATATGAATTACTTAAAAATATAATATTCAGACAGACATTTCAATAAGCCTTCCCAAATCAATACTAAGAGTTACTAACTATATTAGTGGGCTATTAATATATCAAATAATTTGGATAGGTTCTCAAGTACATTTTCAAAAGAGGTTCCCTTTATCCCTCTTTAGCTACAATATAAGCAGCCCCATGGCAGTGATTACTTTGGAAATGCTTGTACCCTTAGAAAAAGGAAATGATGATGATGTTAGAAGCTATTTCCTAACTTATTCTGTCACTCAAAATACTGCCCTCCATCTCCTTAACTAGCTCTAGGCAGCCCAAAGTAATATGGATATAAAACAAACAGATGAGGAATGGGAGGAATAACTCCTAGCATGGTTATCCATCCAAAGTAGTATGGATTACCTGGATATGTAAATATACACATGTGTATGTACATATTTCCACATATATATGTGCATGTATGTATATATCTACATATATGGGTAAATGTATGCATTTGTGTATATGTGAGTGTGCTTATATAAGTCTATGTATATAAAATGTTAGAAAGTTACTATCTCATATAATTTGTTCTAGATGATTTAGTCGATGTGACGGGGAAAATATAAATGTCGAAATTTCCAAACCAGTAGAATTGTTTGAGATAGCCTTGTATATATGTTGGCTTAACAAGAACTTTTTAGTGAATAATGGAACAACATTACAGCTCTCACTTCTTTATGATTCCAAGGCAGCAGTCAGGATCTAAACTGCAATATTAATACCTATTGCAAGAGTGGGCTCAAGATTAGCTATGTGCTAAATAAATATTTAAAGTGATAAATAAATGAAATAGTTCTTTATTTTTAATCAAAAAATTACTAATTAAGTGGAATGTGGAAAAAAGTAATCATGGTAATATAATCACAATCTGATAGATAATACTGAACTACTAGTGGCAAAATTAATTTAAATACACTTTAAATGTATCGTCCATATTGTATTCAAAGAAAAAAGTAGAAAATAAGAACTTTCTCTCCTACTCCAAGTCTACTTCTGAGGAGAAATAGACGTAAAAGGATGTGCATTTGGTAAGAAATTATCGACTAAGTATAGCACAATGGATTGAAGTGTCTTATGTGAACAGCCTTCTATTGCCACTGCTTGTTTAACTCACAGTAAGAACAAAGTGATTAACGACCTTTCTGATCTGTCAAGGGTAAAGAATAGTCACTGAAAATTGAGCCAAAAGATTTTTTGTTCCATTATTAGAACTACACTGCAGAAGAAACCAGTGTTCAGTGTTCAATATCAGACTCTCGTCACAAGAAATCAGCACTCATTCAGGATGCACGATTGGGCCAGTATTTCACAAATGACAGAAGGCCAAATTTTGTGTAACCCAGTGAAAGTGCTGAGGTAAACAGATAGCGTAATGAGGGATAATTCAGTTTGGCAATGACCAGTCATGGCTCTACTTTTAAATTCCACACATTAATGCTTCAGTTTCAGAACCACATTAAATAATTCACAGTGCCTCTAACTAACACAATTTTTGCTGCAAGCTTAAAAAAAAAATCAATCTTACGTGATGGTCAACGACTTCTGCCAGCTCTTTATCTGCTTTGGTGAAGAAATCCGGATATGGAAACAGGGGGAAGTCTACTACAGAATCATGGTCCCTTTAAAGGAGAATAAGAACAGATCCAGCATTAGGCACAGCTATTTCTCCTCCCTGGAAATAGAAAGATTTGTAAGTCATAATTCATTCAGCGTTTTGATTCTACATTGGTAACATAAAGTACTTACTCCGTGCAGTCTACCCTAAGTTAGCCTTTTGTTTCTGTAAGCCATCTTGGATTACCAAAACTGACATTTTTGAGAGCAGGTTATGACATTGCATGAAAATCAGAAAAGAGCAGAAAGCCAATCTAGTGTTAGGAGAGGTCAGTCCTACAGGAAGTCTGTAGCAAACAGGACAGTAGGATACGAAGTGCTCGGGAAATGTGATGTGGGCTGTGCCGGGGAGAGATGAAAGTGCCCATCCCCCACACAGCTCTGGTGGAAGCCCAAGATTTTGATCTAAGTAAGACATGCTAAAAAAACCAAAACAAAACATGATTTCAATACTTCCCCAAGTTCTCCGTGTTACTAAGGCAGAATCCTGGTAGATGGTTTAGCAATAGCTCCAAGAAATTGTTGGCAGTGCAAAGCTGGGCCTCAAACTAAGGGACACTTAGTGTTAAATTATCCACACGTTAGTTGTACTATCAAAGTTATTATTAAGAAAGTGTGTGAGTCCAGGAATATGCAAGGTGAGGAGATGGTGGTGGAGGATGGTTTGGAAGGGAGAAAGTGGGTACAGAGAAGAAAGTCTTAGGGAAGACCCCAAGGAGAGACAGACAGTGAGAAATGTCCATATCAAAAAAAGTCTGATTCATTTTTAAATCTGGAAGGCCTAACATGAATTTTTTCAAGTTGCTGCCTATGCCATCTCTGTGTTCTTGACACCCTTTACTCCCCTCATTCCGTCAGGTCCTGTTGCTCTATTCTGTGCAGAAGGATACTGACAAATTTTCTTGACTTTCATCTCTGTCCGCAGCATCTTTTCCCAAGGCCGAACCATTACCACCTCTCCCCTGAATGAAAGCCTCATGTTTCGCATGTCTGCACCCACCATTCCTTACCTACTTTACTCTTGTCTCTATAAAGTAGCTAGATATTTTTTTCAAAATTCAAAGCAGATCCTGTCAACATCCCCTATCGAACTGTTCAATATTTTCCCAGTAACTTTAGTAGGATCAGGACTGCATTTGTTAAGGAAGCCCGAACGAGACTGTGCATTTCTTAAAGTGGTTCTTTGTGTGGTTCCTCCAGATTGATTTCTCTCCTTACTTCTCCTGGGTTTCTGTGTATCCCTGGCACAGGCGTTTTCGCAGTTGCTGGCTGTGTGTTGTTCCATCCCGCCGTTGCTGTTCACACAGGCTGCCCTTTCTTCCTTTTCTCCTCCTCTCCCCCTGCTGCAGGGATGGTTACTGCAGGCTCGTCTTTCAGCTCTCAGTTCCAGGCCACTGCCGCAGCCCGCAATCCTCCATGGACGTTGCCTTCATTACGCTTACCTCAGTTGTAATTGCACATTTGTGGCGTGCCTGTGTGAGCTTTGTGTTTTCCTGACCAGAGTAGGAGCTACGCGATCATGGAGACTTTCATCTGATTTCTTATCATTGTCTTCTCAGCACCCAGCACCGTGCCACTGACGCTCGGTGAATGTTTGTGGAATGACTGAACGAAGTAAACTATGATGTGCTTCTGTCCTCTTTATTTTCCAAGCCATTAATAAGATTCCACCACAAGACACTTTCATGTCAGTATAGTAGCACCCCACATGGTGGTGGATGGATGGCCACCTCAGGAGACAAGTTGCAGAGCAGTCGAAAGAAGCGGCCTGATGAAGGACAATGCAAGTGCCGGGCAACCGGGGACAGGGAGCCTCTCCCAAAGCAGTAACACCATACCCAAAAGTGTCGTGAGCAGAAGAGCCCTAAGATCTCACTGCATGGGCCTCCAGTCAACCTGTTAGAGAAAAATGTGACCCTAGGAAGCTGGGACATGCAGAAGGTGATGCTTCAGTTGACTACATTCATTCAGTGAAATGCAGGCACTTTTGATATTCAAAGAATTGTGGCAAATGCTGTGAAAAGATAAGGCATCATCTCAACATCATAGAAAGGTCCTAAGTATTCAAGCAAGTTGCCTAAATTTTTTCTTAAATAATGTGTTTAAATTTTAAAAATTCCAAGTGACATATTGTCCAAAGACCTTTATAATGGGAAAAAAAAATGGATCTCCTTGCATAGCTGTGATTTCTAGTTCCCTTAGTTGAATGGTTTGTACTGGACAATAAAATGCACAGGTAACTATAATACAAGACAACGTGAAACAGGAGAGTGGTAAACAGTCAGTGAAATATTAGTGGAAAACAAACAGCAAAATGTTAGAGCGCATGGGTGCGGTGCCCAGGCACGTCTTAACGCCATTTACTGCTATTTAATCCCTCTGCTCTTCAGTTTCTTAATTCTTAATATAGAAAAATAATAGAATGTGCCTTGTTATGTTTTCACAAGGATTAAAAAGAGATCAGACATGAATAAAACACTAAGTAAGTTTCAGGTGTGATATCCTTATCATCCCCTCCAAATTCAGAGGAGAAAGCCGTGGCTTCTGGCTGGTACTATCAATTACAAGAAAAGGAGGGAGGACAAGCCAGCTTTGAGCACTAAATGAGGTCTAGAATTGTATGTTTTAAGTTAAATGGAAATGGCGAGAGGCTTTTCCAGAATGGTGGCGTGTTGATTTCCTGGGCTGCTTTAACAGAGTATCAAATCAAGGTGCTGGCAGTCCTGGTTCCTCTAGAAGCTCTCGGGGAGAATCCATTCCTCACGTCTTTTAGCGTCCAGTGGTTGCTGTCAATGTTTGTTACTCCTTGGCTTGTGGACACACCACTCCCATCTCTGCCTTTCCCTCTGTGTCTCTGGGTGACTTCTCCTTTTCTGTCTCTTATAAGGATACTTTTTCTGAGGGTATAAGAATCCTTTCACTGAGTTTACCGCCCACATCACCAAGATTACCTGAACAATCCCTTCAGTCTGATGCAATTTCAGCCAGGTGACTTCCTGGCCATGGGCCCCTGACCTCCTTTTCTCAGAGCATCCACTTTAGAAAACTTTCAATTGTAAATTCTCTCTCTGCTCCTAGGAAAGGTAAAGCTTCTCCTTATTTCATGTCAGTTTTATAACCCGTGAATGTCTTTCTCAAAAAACCTGGTGCCACCTCTTTGAAATGTAGTCAACAGAGAAGGTAGTCACCTGTGGCCCAATCTCCGTGGGCGATCTGGGGGCCTATGTTAGGTAAGTGACCATTTAGCAAGCATATCACATACCTGATCACTTTGGCGACCTACTTTCCAGTGCCCTCTCTCCTACCTTTCCAACTAGCTCACCCAGCACTTAAAATCCTCCCACTGCACATCTTTTGTGTTTACCTGGATGGATTTCAAGAACATCTTCCCAAGTATCACAAGAGTGGAAGAGCAAGTATCCAAAGTACCCAATACTCACATGAAGCCAGTAGATGAACAATTACAAGGGAAAAACACAACCTCATTCAAGTAAGGGGAAGGGGGAGGGGAGGGGGTGGGGAGAGAGGGGAGGAGGTTTGGGGTGCTATCATCTAATGGGCACCAATGTAGGGGTACATGGCACACCTCCTGGGTGAAGGGCTCAGCTACAACTTGGACCTTACCTAACAAATGCAGACAAGGTAACTTTATCATTTGTACTCTTATATCAATCTGAAATTTAAGAAAATAATCCTCCTGCCTTATTTCAGGAAGAACAACCTTTCTCCTCTACTGCAATAGTTGTGAATACAATCTTCTTTACCTGTTACATTTGTCTAGTGCAATTCTTTGACACACTCTCATTTAGGATAATCTCATCTTGAGACTTTTACCTTAATTATACCTACAAATCCTTTTTCACCAAGTAAGGTCACTTCCACAGTTATGATAGTTTAAGACCTGGGCATATTTGGGGGAGAACACAATTCAGTCCACTACAGACAACAAAGACTCTCAAAGCAAGAACATAGAGAATTCGTCTGGGAAGGTATGTAAACTGAGATAGCTGGAACTTAGAGTACAGTGAAGGGAAGAAGAGACTCCTGACTTCATTCATTTATTCAAGCATTTATTGCAAAAAAGATATTATTATAAGTAGCTGGAATAAAAAATAAAAAGGAAAGCCCTGGATGCTGCCCCCTAAGGATTTGAAGTCAGAAAATTGCCATAAAATGATAAAATAGGGTTCTTTGGCGTACGAAGGTGGGTAGCTGGACTAATTCAATGTAGTGCGTCAGTGGGTGAGAGAGATCTTCCTGGGTGGTTTATGCATGGTTGTCCCAACAGGATGATGATGAGGTTGACGAAAGACAAACGTGGGACATACTCAGTTTGCTTATTATATAAAGGATGAGAAAGCACAGAGTTATTTACAAATATAAGAGGGAATAACAGTTTCTTGAGCAGAACTATGCTGACTTTTTAACTCTATAAAACACTCCTGAAGACATCCAGGTGTGGCTCCTCTAAGGCAGGAGACATAACCCAGGTGCAGGTGACACCCACAGGGTTCAGGTGGCTTCATTGCTTCATCCCACACACTGACTTAAGAGTCGGTGTTGAGGCACAAACTCAGCCAATAAAATATTGCTTTTATCTCAAGCACACTACACTAGCCATTGAAATTATCCACTGAGGGGAAAATATTGTACCAATTAATGTCTTTGTTGGACGACTGAATGACCTGCCCTTAATTCTACTTTTCGAGAGAAGTGTGTACCATAGACGCATCAGTTGATACGGATTTTCGATAGTACCTGTTATTCTCCTTTTTAAAATTCATTATGAATCAATGACCACTCGCTGATTTCAAATTTAACTTGCTCCAACTAATTGTGTACACATTTTTTTTTTCTTTTGGAAACTTATATTTTTACTATTTGGCTACCAGAACCCTCTCAACTTAGTCAACTTTCTTTTCATCCTTCTTCCTACTGCAGTTTCTTTTGATGAAAGCTTTATTTGCTGAAGGCAGCAGGTGTGAGATATGGACACTGTCCACAG